TAGCAGCCATTCCCCATCTCCCTCCGAAGTCCTAGGCAGACACTCACCTCCTATCCACGTCTACAGATGTGCCTCTTTTGGGCATTTCATGTAAATGGAATCGTATCATAAGTGGTCTTTCCTGACAGGCTTTTTCCCCTAGCATAATATTTTCAAGAGCCATCCATGTTGTCCCCAATAGCGATGTTTCTTTTTATTGTCAAATACTATTCCATTGTTTGGATATGTCGCATTTTGTAAATACAGTCATTGGTTGATGGGCGTGTGGATCGTTTCCACTCTTTTTGGCTATTAGGAATGCTGCTGTTAAGTTTTGTGTTGGAGTCACCATGTGGACATGTTTTCATTTCCCTTGTGTATATACCTGGGAGTGGAATTGGTGAGTGATTTGATCATTCTGTGTTTAACTTTTTGAGTAGCTGCCAAACTCTTTCCCAAAGTGGCCACACCACTTTACATTCCTGCTGGCAGCGAATGGGGGTTTCCGTCACTCCAGGTTGTCTCCAGCTCACTGTTTCTTGTTATCGTCATCCTAGTGGGTACGGTGTCGGATGTCCTTGTGGTTCTGGTTTGCACTTCTCTAATGACTGATATATCGTTAGCATCTTTTCATTTGCCTGTTGGTCATTCATGTATCTTCTTTGCCGATTTTTAAATTGGATTGTCATTTTCTTGTTGAGTTGCAAGCTTTCTCCATATACTCGGGATGCACTTCCTTTATCAGGTAAATGATTTGCCCACATTTTCTCACAGTGTGTGAGTTGGCTTTTCACTCTTGTGATGGTATCTTTTGAAGCCCGGGTTTTCAGTTTGTATGTAATCTGCTTCATCTGTTTTTTCTTTTGTCACTTGTGCTTTTGCTGTCATGTCTAAGAAACCAGTGCCTAATTCAAGGTCACAAAGATTCACCCCTCCGTTTTCTTCCAAGAGCCTTCTAGTGTTAGCTCTGATGTTTCCATCTGTGATCCATTTTTGAGTCAGTTTTTGGTATGGTCTGAGATAGGAGCACAGCTTCATTCTTCTGCATATGGATATCCAGTTGTCCTAACACTGTTGGAAAGGCTATTCTTTCCCCTCATGAATATTCTTGGCACCTTTATTTTTTAAAAAATCGTGTTCTATACTCTCAACTATATTCCATTGTTAGAAATGACTGTCCTTATGCCATCACCTTGATGTCTTGATTGCTATAGCTAGCTAGAAAGTTTTGAAATCTGAAAATCTGAGTTCTTCAACTTCTTTGGAAATACTGTTTTGACTATTCTGGGTCTGTTGCATTTTCATCTGAATTTTAGGATCAACTTATCATTTTTGGCGAAAAAAAAAAAAGCTGGGATTTTTGATAGGGATTATATTGAATCTGTAGACCAATTTATGAAGTTGTCACATTTTTACAATCTTGTCTGATCCAGGAATGTAGAATATCTTTCCATTTCTTTAGGAACTTGTTAATACCTTTCAACAGTGTGTTGTAGTCTTCAGCATATAAGCCCTACAGGTCTTTTTTTTAATATATTCCTAAGTGTTTGATTCTTTTTGATGCTACTTAAATTGAATTGTTTTTCAAATTTCATTTTCCAACTGTTCACTCCTAACATATAGAAATGCAGTTGATTTTTATGTATTGACCTTGTATCCCTCAATCTTACCGAACCTAATAGATTTTTTAATGGATTCCTTAGGATTTTCTGTATATAAGATTTTAGCATCTGCGCATAGAGATAACTTCACTTTCTCCTTCCAATTTGTATGCCTCTTTTCCTTTCCTTGCCTCATTGCCCTGGAGAGAACTTCCAGGACAGTGCTGAATGGGGTAGCAGGACATCGTTGTCGTTTCTGTTCTTATGGGACAAGCATTTAGTATTTCACCATGAAGTATGCTGTTAGCGTTGGGGTTTTGTAGATGCCCTTTATCGGGTTGAGCATGTTCCCTCCTATTCCTAGGTTGTTGAGTATTTTTATCAGGAAGGACTGTTGAATTTTCAAATGCCTTTCCTGCACCTCGAGTTGTGAATTTTGCCCCTTACTAACATGGAGGATTACACTGATTGTTCGATCGATCGATCTTTCTTTTTTTATTTTTTGAGGGAGTCTCATTCTGTTGCCCAGGCTGGAGTGAAGCTGCATGATCTTGGATCACTCCAACCTTTACCCTCCTGGGTTTAAGTGATTCTCATGGCTCAGCCTCCTGAGCAGCTGGAATTACAGGGATGCACCACCGTGCCCAGCTAATTTTTGTTTTTTCTTTCTTTATTATTTTTATTATTATTATTATTTTTTAGTAGAGACAGGGTTTCACCATGTTGGCCAGGCTGGTCTTGAACTCCTGGCCTCAAGTGATCCGCCCATCCTGGCCTCCCAAAGTGTTGGGATTACAGGGGTGAGCCTCTGCCCACGGGCTGATTTTTCCTTATGTTAAGCCAGCCTTGAGTCCTGGCATAAATCATATTTGAACACAGTGTAGAGAGAACCCTTTTATATGTGGCTGGATTGGCTTGCTAGTATTTTGTAGAGGGGTTTTCTGTGCATATTTATACCTGATATAGAATTGTTTCTAATAAAGAGAGTTTTGAAACAAATGTCCATTAATAGGAGAGCAGTTATACAGACTTCATAGCAATTCAAGCAAAAAAAATTAAATAGAGCTATACATGGTAACATTTATGATTTCTGAGACATGTTTTTAAAAATAATAAATGTGGTATAATGCTGAATTACTCCTAACATAGAATTGAGGAAAATGTAAATATGAAAATACTATGTGCTTATTTGTGTAGCATTAAAATTCTACAGTGAGAATATATACTCACGTGTATTTGTGTAAATTGGAAAATATGAATTGCTGGCCAGGCACGGTGGCTCACACCTGTAATCCCAGCACTTGGGAAGGCCAAGGCAGGCAAATCACGAGGTCAGGAGTTTGAGATGGTGAAACCCTGTCTCTACTAAAAATTCAAAAATTAGCCGGGCGTGGTAGTGCGTGCCTGTAATCCCAGCTGTTCAGGAGGCTGAGGCAGGAGAATTGCTTGAACCCGGGAGGCGGAGGTTGCAGTGAGCCGAGATCACGCCGCTGCACTCCACGAGCCTCCGTCTCAAAATATATATATAAATTGTTTTTTAAAAGGAAAATGACAGTGAACTCACTGATATAAACAGCCTGTATCCTGGCAAATTTCACTGTAAACCAAGGGAAGTCCTGTTAGCCTACAGCAGTGTCCTGTGTCTCCCTGCCACACCTACTGCAAGCAGCCAGTGGGATTAGAACTTGTGTCACTTTACAATTGGAAATAAATCCACCAGCACAGGGATATATGCGAGTATCCAGTAAAGGAAAAAGATAAAGGGGACAAGGAAAATGAATGACTTTTAAAAAATACTGGCAAAATGTTACCAAGGGCATGATGAAAATTGTGACCCAGTGTTACTGCCGTAAATTTCAAAAAGTGATCAGCAGTAGCCTTGATAAAATAGGAACTCATAGTCCGGATGCAGTGGCTCACGCCTGTAACCCCAGCACCAGCACTTTGGGAGGCCGAGGCGGGCGGATCACCTGAGGTCAGGAGTTTGAGACTAGCCTACCCAACAGGGTGAAACCTCGTTTGTATTCAAAATATAAAAATTATTTATTGGCAATTGCCTCATTAACCAGGCACCAACCAGTCGCCAGCTTCTGCTCTGGGAGCTTCAATCACGTCCTCCCTGAATCTTCACTGCCCACCTGCTATTCTGGCTCCTACTCTGCTTAAAAAACACTCAAGGAGATGGACAGAACTATCCAAGTGTGATAGCTGCAGAAGTAATCAAAGACAGTGGGAGCAAGAAACAGGGCACCGTGCGTCAGGCAGTGCTGTGGTTTTGTCATGGGCTAAATTGCTTGGTTTCTGCTCTCATCCCACGGTTATTCAGGGAAAGTTCAGAATACAACAGCGAGCAAAAGAGCCTCCAGCAGATCAATGGGAGCAGGGCCGCTGTTCACTCCTGCTCCGGGGAGGTGCATTCACATAGAATACCAGGCTGTATTCATTTGCTGTGGTTTCCTTAACAAAGTGCCACAGACTGGGTGGCAGAAGCAGCAGAAACATACTGTCTTTCTGTTCTGGAGGTGAGGAGCCTGAGATCAGGTGTCAGCAGGGTTGCTTCCTTCCGGAGGTCGTGAGGATCTGGTCCATGCCTCTTGCCTAACTTCCAGTGGTTTGCTGGGAGTCTTGGGCATTCCTTGGCTGCCTGTTGAAGCATCACTTAATCTCTGCCTTCATGTTCTTGTCACATTCTCCTTGTGTGCATGTCTCTGTCTGAACTTCCCCTCCCCTGCCATCATTGTTCTTCTTTTTTGAGACTGACTCTGTCACCCAGGCCGGAGTACAGAGTGGCGGGATCTCGGCTCACTGCAACCTCCAACTCCCGAGTTCAAGCGATTTTCCTGCCTCAGCCTCCCAAATAGTTGGGACTACAGGCACCCACCACCACACCCAGCTAATTTTTGTATTTTTAGTAGAGACGGGGTTTCACCATGTTGGCCAGGCTAGTCTTGATCTCCTGACCTCATGATCTGCCCACCTCAGCCGCCCAAAGTGCTGGGATTACAGGCGTGAGCCACCGTGCCCGGCCAAACTCCCCTTTTTATGACGACATCGGTCATACTGGATTAGGCCCACCTACTCCAGGATGACCTCACCCTAATATGTCTGCAGTGGTCACATGCTGATGTTCTGGTTGAGGGGTGGTTAGGACTTCAACATACGAATTTGGGGGAAGGGGCCACTACTCACCCGAAACTCATGCAAATCATGCTCTCTGGAAATCGGGCCGCCGGAAAGTTCTGGCTATAGGAGAGCCTCCTTCTTAGTTGACTCTCTTGTTTTCTCAGAGCTTTACCAGCCCTCCATCTCTGAAGCCACTGCAGGGGGCCGGGAGGGCTTGGTAGTTTTGGCCAGGTCTGCTTCGTGGCCTGTGGTGCAGGGTGGAGGTGTGGTTCACGTCTGTGTCGTTTGTTGCTACAGGTTATATCGAAGCTGCTGTCATTCCCGCTGGAGCTCGGAGGATCCGTGTGGTGGAGGATAAACCTGCCCACAGCTTTCTGGGTAAAACCAAAATGACTTGACTCACCGTTTATGTGTTGAGAATGGATTTTGATGATCAGTCTGGTACCTTGGTTTAGCATCATTCCACCCGGGTTATGGCTGGTTTCGTGCCTGTATTGTAGTGACATGAGCACTCGGGACCACACAGTGCAGTTGTATTTGACTAACATGAAGCCACCCCCAGGGTGGATTAGGGGCAAGAACAGGGAGGAAAATGATGGAAGACCAGCTTGGGACAGGAAGGAAGATCATAGAAGAGTGAAGGAAATTGTGAGGAACTTGGGCTAGGTTAGTCCCCCGAAGTAACCACAGGAAAGCTCAGAGCGGCTTGAGTCTGAGCAGTGCAGCCCACTGGCCAACTTGCAGGAAGCCTCACTGGGCTGCCAGTGGTTCTGGGGATGACTTCTTAGCCGGAAAAAGAGCAACAGTGCTTAGTCTCATGGAAACCCAGAAGGACACTAGTTTCACCAAGGTCTGTGTGTCCCGAATTCCTAGCGACCAGCTCCATTGACTTCAAGCACAAACACCTGCATCTCTCCATAGACTTGGGTTCTATTCTGGACTAGTTTTTCTAACTATGGGCAAAGCCATTCAGATAAACTTCCTAGCTAGAGAAGACCTTCCGAGAGTATCCTTGGCCCAATTCCCAGGCTCCCCATCAACCCCAGCAAAAGTCAGCCCAGGACTTGAGCCCCAGGGTGGTTGGAATTCTGAGTTAGACACAGAAGTGGAGACAGCAGGGTGGCCAGAGGCTGCCTCTGCTCCGGGCCCCCTGGCTTGGAACATGCTGTGGCCCCTGCCCTTCTGCTGGCTTTAATCCCATGTTCCTGTCTTGGGTTAAACTTGAACTTGAGGTGGCTGAACTTCTCGGGCGCCCTCTTCCGAGCTGTCTTTATGTTACCGTCTCTCAGCCTGTGTTGCAAAGTGCTGATTGAGATTGAAGAAAGAAAAAGTAAGAGAGGATTTCTCTTGTTTCCAAAATGATTTTAACTAAATTGAAGTCACCCAAGAAACCCTTTTATTTCCATTTTTATCACTGATTTTTAAAAATGACGTCTTTGTCCACATTCCTGCCTTTGCAGGCTACGCAGAAGTCCAAGTCTTTCTTTGAAATGGTCTCTGCTTCAGAAATTCGAAGTCTAATGAGACAGACCCAAAACCAATCTCTAATAGGCAGGTTTACAGTGAAGACCACAATCCTGTTATTTCAAGAGTTAGGGAACCCTTCGATGCTCAGACACCCCTCACACACCTGCCTTGGGGAAGGCAGCAGTACCCATTTCCAAGCAGCTATGTGGGGTATCGCTGGCACCACACTCTGTGGATACCGCCATGTCCCAAGCTGCCCTGCCACCTCCTCCGCAGCTTGGTCACCTGACATCCACCCTCCCCCCTCGAGGCTGTGATGGCCGCTTGTGCTTCTACTGCAGGGTAAGACCTTGCCATCCCTGGAGTTGACATCCATGTACGTTTTCATCAGCCCAATGGTTTTCCATCTCCCCCGCACGGACAGTGTCCCTACCTCACGTGACACTCTCCTCCCCAGCTGTCCTAGCTGTCACTCTGCAAATAGAACAACGCTTAAAATGCTTTCTAAAACAAGGCCTCTTGCTGCCTTTGGCAGCTTCAAAGCGACAGCCTGTTTTTACTAAATTCACGAAGACCCCACTCCTCTCCCTCTGCCCATCAGAGGATATTGGGTCAACTTTACCAGCATTTGCATCGGAAGCCCCACCACCTATCATGCCAAAAAGTTACCCTTACCCTTCCCAACCCATGCATTCAAATGTACGGAGGCCCTCCGTAGGAGGCTGGCATCACCTTTCATCCTGATTCAAAATTTGCAGTCCGGGTGTTCCAAGAGGTAGTTCAGTTTGGAGGTCGAATTACTGGTTCTTTCATCAAGCCCCAGCAGGTGCTCCTGCAAGTGCATCCCCTGGCTTCGGAACCTGGCTGCTGAGATTTCCCAGCTTGGCTTCTCTGCCTGGCTCAGCCCTAAGTGTCTGGCAAGAGGGGGGTCTTCTCAATCTCTGTTTTGCATGGCAATGTAAGAGTGGCAGGAGGATATTAGAATCCTCTGGATTGCTCCTCAACTTCTGAGTCCTGTCGTACAAACGGACCTTTCACTCGAACTCACTTTAGGGCAACAGGTGCTATCTAGCAGATGCCAACCAGGAGAACGCGCTCTTGTGATTGTGCCCTCAGCTCCTGAAGCCTGAGGGCCACGTGTACAAAACAAGAGCAGTAGCATCCGCGATGGTGGCTCCCAGTCACTGAGCTCCGCTGCACCTTAGAGACCTGATCCCTAATTCCCCCAAATGGGCTGCAAGGGATTGCTCTGCTTCCTTAACAGAGGTACAGACCGGAGGTCCGAGGGGCTTGGTGTCTCGACCACGTTCTCCACCTCCTCTGAGTTCACTGCAGTTGATACAGCCTCTCAGAATTACCCTGTCCAGTCGTGGCCAGAGACTGCTGGATGGAGACATCTCATTGGAGAACACATGTTAACCCTGCCTGTTGTGACCACTACATTGTGTGCACTTTGAACAAGCCTGCATCCCGTGGAGATTGGTTTAGTGTCTTGGGTGACTTCTCAGCCCTCCAGAAGCACCGGGCCTCCATGGGAGGTTGGACTCGGTTCCTGCCTTATCTCATCCAGAAGGCATCATCCCGGGACTCCAGGGCCTGGCCAATGGACACGGGCAAGCCTGAAGGTGGTCCACACTCATTATGTTTCTAAAGTTAGTTCAAAAAGGCCTTGTTTCCACTTGGGGCTGGGTGCTTTGGAAGTCAACCCAGTGTAACTTTGAATTACTCTCACATTTGCCGGGAGCAATTCCTGAAGAATTTCACCCCACCTACCTTCAGCCCACGCTGGCTGGCTTTCTGCTCAAAACCACCTGGAACAGGAAATGCCTCTGCAGTTTGTATCCATAGCTAAGAACAGACTGGCAGAACTCCTAGTGGAAATAAAAGGAGCTGACTCGCTGCCAGGATTAGAAGTAGGTTGACTGTGGGTCAGGTCTTCCAGTGAAGCCAGGAGGGAGAGAGGCCAAGAGAACCCCACCCGACCTTCTGCACAGCTCTGTGCCAGAGAGGGGCATGTGCGCATGGTGAGAACCCGCGTCTGCCTCCGGCCAGCTCTGAAGAGCAGCGGTCTCCTTCCTCAAGAGTGCCCCCACCTTGCTCCCTCGAATAGCTCATGGTCTTCCCCACACTGCCTGGAAGACCAGGATGGCGTGTAAGTGTCCACAGAGAGGAAGAAGGGCCAGAGACAGAAATGGACGTTCCGCATGTAACTCACATTCCAGCTCATTGCAAAGGTTTTGTTCTGCCCTAGTGGTAAAGGAAAGTGTACCCTCCCATGTGGTGCCACACAGAAGTCTAACTCTTGAGAGCTTCTGAGCAAACCCACAAAAATGAGCATAGTTCTATTTTGGATCATGGTTTAAAACATTTAGTCTCTGGCCCAGGCAAAATAAGCAAGGGAAAATCTCCTTCCCAGCAAACCAGAACTTCAGACATCACAGATGAAATCAAATCATTGGGGGAATCCCCTCTTCTTCGCTCTGTTATTTGCCCATAAAATCAAAGCATTTGCAATTGTTTTAATTTCCCCTATTGAGTGTTTTCTGGGTCCAAAAAAATCCTGATTTCAAGTGCAAACTAGTCAATCTCAAAATACTTACAAAGGGGACTTGGAGATACTCACTGATGCCCAAGGGTTGAGGGGACAGGAACTTGTAGAACCCAAAACATATTTAATTTGGAAGGTCAGGAAAAAAAAATACATTATGCACGGGGCTATGGAAAGGCCTCCTGCACGGAGGTGCCTGGCGCGGGAGCCTCAGAGCCCTTTGCAGACCCTGCTCTGTGCAGCTCACGCAAGGCAGGAGAGCAACCCAAGCTGCCACAGAAGGGGGCAGGAGGCGACCTGCATTGTCTCTGCAGTTGGCATGGCCCCATGCAGTCATTGTTCCGGGGACTCCACAATGAACCTGTTTACTCACTGTTAAAAATGATCTTGACATCCTGACAGAATCTCTGAGGCTGAAGTCTCTTTCAAAGGGTTGTCAGGCACTCACTCATGATTTTAGCAGGAAGTTCCAATTTTTGAGATGGACCACAGCAAACTGCAGATGGGAAATCTTGCTAAGTGACACCAAAGTGAAAAGGATGGAAGTAACCCCCATGCCTCCTGGATCTGCTGACCTCCTGCTAATAACTCTGCCTGTGTTTTCCTCTCCCTGAGAAATACACAAATGAGCGTGGCTGGGAGCGCACTGTCCAGAGGAAAGGCATGCCGGCTCTAAGCTGGAAAGCTGCCTCTGCAGTGTGCCAGAAGTTGCAGCTGCGGCAGCAATGGCCACAGGCAGTGCTTGGGCATGCAAAGCGTATTCCTTCTGGGGCTGTGAGAGCTGACCCCAAACCCACTCCCAGCCTCAACCAAGATGTGATCGTGCAGGAGTTCTCCCATGCATCAGCTCCAGACCAGGACCTCCAAAGCAAAGGCATCTTCAGAATTCGATGGAGTGCCCCCACGGCCCTGTGCGGCTTGTGAGAGCCAGTTCTAGGCATCTCTTCCCCACTCCTTGTTCAGTGATGCCAGGTGGATAACACGGTCTGCCATATGAGGGTGTTTATACTCTGGGTAGCAAATGCACCGTAAGTCTAGGCTGTTTTCCCCAGGGAGCCGGCTGTCACTAGCACCCTGTTGTCGGGCATGTTCCTCCCCATCAGCAGTTGACCTTGCCTGGGTCCGTCCATCCACCGCAGCCTCACTCAGTTTCCTATCCCATGCTTCCTTGACCACACCCAGCAACTCCTCCGTGGCCTCCGGTAGCCCTCCTCCCCACGTCTCCCCCACCCATCCTGCTACGGACAAGCAAGCCCCTACTCCAGTGATCAGAGGGTGGCAGGCTCCAAGGCCCAGCTGACTCTGCCCCCATCTTGTGCTGGAGTTGCTGCTGCTGCTGCCCCCCGCCCACTGTCGGGCCTCCCGAGGCAGAGGTAGGTCTTCCCGGGCCCGCCCCCACCTCTGTGCAGTGTTTCTGACAATGGTCTTAGAACCGTCTCCAGGTTGCCCTCCTGCCCTTTTTTGGGCCTTTCTACTCTTGACCTCCCAGATGTTTTACTTTCGGTATGGAAATCGGGTTGTTTGCAGGCTGTAATTCAGAGTCACTTTAAAACGTCTTATAAAAAGGGCCAGAGAAATACATAAACAAGGCTGGTGGGGAAAGGCCCACCTCTTCAGAAGGGTTAGAGCCGGGATAGGGGTGTTAGAGCCAGGACGGTGGGGGAGTTACAGCCGGGACGCGGGGGCTTACAGCCAGGACTGGGGTGGTTAGAGCCAGGACTGGGGTGGTTAGGGCCGGGATAGGGGATTTAGAGCCAGGACGGGGGGTTTAGAGCTGAAACGGGGTTTTTAGAGCCGGAATAGGGGTAGAGTTTGGATAGGGGTGTTAGAGCCGGGATAGAGGCAGAGGCCCTGGCGGGAATTTGAAGCAGGGGTGGAGTGGCACACTCCAGGCCTTCTGCCTCTCAGGGGTACCCGGCTTGGTGGCAAACATCTGGGGCTGATTTCTAGGAGGCCATAATAGTAATTTTCTTTCCTCACCTCCTCTGCCCTCCTTGTGATTAGTATTTTTTTAACCTGACTTCCCAAAAGCATGTGTTAAAGCCAAACCTAGCTCTTAGTGGTTGAGCATCAGCATCAGGCACTGCTGGATCCAGGGGCTTAAAATGATGTCACGGGAAAAATGGTCTCTCTCCGCACTGGCAATCCTCTCTGGGGGTGTCTTCCTGTGGGCTAGCAGATCCGGGCTCACGTCCAGTCTCCAGGAAACCCTGTGGAAGGAAAGCTGCCTTTTCCTAAGGTGAACAGAAGTCCCCCTGTTTGGGGTTGGGTGCTGGGCTCATGCCTGGAGCTGTGGAATTGGGGGTCCAGCCCCACATGACGGGAGGAAAAGCATGTTCCCAGGAGAAAGCCTGGGTACCACTGCTTAGAGGGAGAAAGAGAGGCCGTGTGACAGGCACAGTGGATGTTCACAGAAGCCACAAACCAGGGACGAAGCTGGGGCCTCAGCCCAGGGCCGCCAGTGTCAGAGTCTGTCACTGCCCGGGGGGTGATGGTCAGTGGATATGGGAGTCGGCTGACCAGCACCAGTGGCCCGGTGTGGAGGAGAGCAGCTGCCCGGCTTCCCTCTGCTCTTTGTGGGAGAAATGGATGCTACAGACGAGTCCTGGTGTGACTGTGGTCAGCACACAGCTTCAAGGAAATTATTGCTGGTCTCTGATTCCTTCGTACGGGGCACCTCAGCATGCTCGGGTGTCCTCTGTCCCCGCAGTGAGGCCCCTCCCTCCTTCCCACCCTCCGAGGCCATTCTCCATCTCTTGCCTCCTTTCCCAGCCAAACCTCCGAAAAGTGAAAAAAAGGTCCCCTTCCACTTTCTTTTCTGTACGGGGCCCCATGTCTTCCTCCCTGCACCACCCTGCCTGGAATGATCTTAGCAATACTGGCCTCTGAGGGTCAGGAATAACTGTCCTGCCTCCATGCCCGGCCACATGCTGCAGGCGGCCTTGTCTCCTCCCGTGTCTTACGCACTCAGCTAAAAGGGGGCTTATCCCAGGAAGCCTTCCCCATCTGCCCCATCCATGGGCCAGTAACAGGCTATAGTCTGTTGGGAACCAGGCTGCACAGCAGGAGGTGGGTGGCCGATGAGTAAGCATGACCCGCCCGAGCAGGGCATTTGATTCTCATCGGAGCGCAAACCTATTGTGAACTGCACGTGCAAGGGATCTAGGCTGTGCACTCCTTGTGAGAATCTAATGGCTGGAGATCCAAAGTAGAAAGTTTTATCCCAAAACCATCCCCTACCTCCCCACTTACCCCAAACCCCTGGTCTGTGGAAAAACTGTCTTCCATGAAACCAGTCCTGGGGACCACTGTCTTAAAGGACTCTGGCCCCTTGGTTTTTTTTTCTGTCTGCTCCTTCCCACCAGCCCACACTGGATCCTAAATCCAGATAGACACGTGCATTTGCAAGAGACAGTTTTCTAAATCTGCAGAGAGCTTGAAAGAACAATGAATGTCCGTGCACTCTCTGCCTGTATTCACTCATACTTAATGTAACCAAGTATGTATTTGTGTTATTAGCTCAGTAGAAGCTTTGGAAACCCGTGAGATTAGTCATTTTTGTAAGGACATATGGAATATGAAACCCCGTAACAATGAGAGCCTGGAATTTGTCCTCTTTGAGAACAGGCCTTACCTTTGCATGTTTCAGCATTAGTCATAAAAATCTAGACTGATGCGGCCGGGCATGGTGGCTCATGCCTGTAGCCCCAGCACACTGGGGGGCTGAGGTGGGTGGATCATGAGGTCAAGAGATCAAACCCATTCTGGCCAAAATGGTGAAACCTCGTCTCTACTAAAAATACAAAAATGAGCTGGGTATGAGGCATGCGCCTATAGTCCCAGCTACTTGGGAGGCTGAGGCAGGAGAATCACTTGAACCTAGCAGGCGGAGGTTGTAGTGAGCCAAGATCACACCACTGCACTCCAAACTGGTGACAGAGTGAGACTCTGCCTCAAAAAATAAAAAATCTAGACTGATGCTACAGCCTAAAGAAATGGGCATTGAGAGTTGCCAGAGTGGTAAATGCAGTGGCGTTGGTCTGTTGGATTCAGGTCTCCACTCCACAGCTGAACGGCCTTGTGGGTTTGGGTAAGGTGCCTAGCTTCCCTGTGCCCCCGTTGCCTTGCCCCTGAAGGGAAGACTTCGGGGGTTGTTGAGAAGATTAAGTGGGTCAGAGTATATGAAGGCGCCGGCCTAGAGAATGTGCTCCTTAAATGGCGGTTTGCAGATGGTGGCAGAAGAAGAGAAAAGGGAGGAAACTGGGGGCGCCCCACCCTCCTCACCGCCTTTTGCAGCCAGGACATTTCAGCTGTGGGAAGGGAAACAGCCAGCTCCAAGTGGCAGGACGTTCTCTTTCCTAAGCTGTCCCTGGGGTCCTGTAATCCTCAGCTCTCACAACCACCCTGGATACGAGACCCCACCGGAAGCCGCTCTGCTGGAAAGTTCTTAGAAGTGAGGAACCTGTTTCTCTTGGCAGTTCCTCTAACACGAGAAGTCCTGTGCGTGCGTCTCCTCCGTGTTGGCCGGGAGCAAGCACTGGGACCGTAATGTCCTGGAGATGGGGCCTGAGGCCGGTGGACCTCCAGTGTCCCTTTGCTGCTTGTGGCCTGGCCCAGCCTGAGGCTGATGAATTCAGCTGTAACCAAAACCCCTTTTGGGTTTCAACTCTCATTTTCCAAAATGAGTATTAAATGTGGCCATTTTATTTCTGGCTTCAATAAGCAGAGAATCGTGAATGCGACAGAATCGGGTTTCATTGATTATAGGCTGAGGAGGGTCCCAGGGGGAGAGATGGAGGTGAGTTTGGGGTGTCCGTGGGGCCCTGGCTGCCTGTGCAGGGAGAGTGGGCATAGGACTGAGGGTGCCCCGGGGTCCCATTTTTGGAAATGACACAGGCTGGCTATCACCTCTTGTCATCTGCCACCTTCTCCTAAAATGCCAGAATAGATTTTAGTTCCTTGGGATTTTTTTTTCCTAGATGACAACCACAACAAACTAGAGTGTCACTGCATAGCACTGTCCTCGTGAGAATGACGTGGCCTTCACCCCTAAGTGGGAAGACACAAGAAACGTCCTAGCGAGCACCTCAGAAAATAATCAGTACGTGGCTCGTGTGGAAAACCAAGTTTCTGCTTACGCCAGTCAGCAGCACATTGATTTTCAGCCTCTCCTGAACACAAGTTGTCCTTGGTAGAGAAGGGGGTGAGGAAACATGAGAACCTGGAACCCACAGAGCTAGGGTGTGAGAGCGCCCCTCCCCTGCCACGCTCAACCCCCAGCCACCGCTCGCCCACAGCAGCCGAGTGTGACCACCACATCTGTGGGTGGCTAGGGTTTCCAAACTTTCATACTTAATGGAGCCTTGGGTGTTGATTGAAGGAACGTCCACTTTAGTCATGTGGGGATATGAAATCCTGAAGAGGTGCTGGAGCCACCTGCTCTCCTTAGAGAGCCCCAGGTAGGTAATAGGAAGGGCAACTGCTGAGTTTTGCTAAAGCAGCAAAACCTATTTTGTAGCCTAGGACACATTAAAATGGAATGAATTCATCAGGCAGAAAAGCATCTACTGGGTACGTTCAGCGAAATGAAATCAGGCTGTGATCACCTCCATTCCCTGCCCTTCCACCCCTAACCCCAGCTATCTGAGTTGATTTTGAGACGGAGGCCAGGCTGGAAGGTGCCCATCAATCCCACAGCTCTCCCTGGGGGTTCTGTGGGTCTGCAGCTCTGTGCTCCCCGCGATCCAGGCTTTTGTTCTCAGTACACAGAGTGTTCCCCTTCTCTCACTTCAGGCCTCCCTCCTTCCCCCTGTGGAAGGGGACACCTCTACCCCACTCAGGGGCCGCAGATTCCCTTTAAAGACAGACTGGATCCCTCTATCCCCAGCCCCTTGATTCTTTGGTCTTCATTTGCTTTCTAGCTCTCAAAGACTCTGGTAAGGGATCCATCAACAGTGACTGGAAGATAGAGCTCCCCGGAGAGTTCCAGATTGCAGGCACAACTGTCCGCTACGTCAGAAGGGGGCTGTGGGAGAAGATTTCTGCCAAGGGACCAACCAAACTACCGCTGCACTTGATGGTAACTTGCTGGGCTCCTGCACTCGTCTGAGGGTTGCTGGCTCTGAGGTTCACCAGGTCACTTTCCAGTTGACTTCTTCCTGGGACCTTGGGGGCAGGAGATGCATCCAGCTTCCAGGGGTCCCTGCTGCTCAGCCCCCTCCCCTCTCGGAGTCTTTCCTTTCCCCTTGCACCTCCTGCTTCAGAATTCTCTCGTTGCTTCTCCTGGCTCTTCCCTGGCAGAGTTCCTATCTTTTTCAAAAGGAGCTGCCTCAAAGAAGGAAATGCTTAGCCACGTGGACGGCAGCCAGGGAGACTTGGCCTCACGGAGAGACAGCCCCACTCACAGTCTCTGTTTACATCAGGTGGTGGGATGCATAGACCTGCCCTCACAGAGTGTATATCATTATCTTTTGGAAATGAACATGGACTCTGTGTCCAAACCAGCATCCCTCAGATTTCACAGACCCAGCTTGCACCAAGCGTTTGGGAATCAGGAAGTGGGATTAGATGATGCAGGTATTCTCCGCCGGCGATCTCCAGACACCTGTGTGCTGCTGGGCCAGGCCAGGACGCCATCGCCTGATCTGTTGTCTTAGGGAGGCCTCCATGTGAGCCACTGAAACATCAGTGACGTAGCCTTTTAAACATGTCAGAGAGATGTTTTTCTCCAGAGAATGGAACACACTGCTTCCTTCTCGAGATCCAGGAGTTCTTATGGCTAACTTCTGATAGCTCATCATTATTGATTCTGTGTCTCCTTCCCAAAAAACAGGACAGTGGCAGCTTGTGCCCCTGCAATCAAAGCACACTTTGTCCCTCAGTGCCTGCCAGAGTCTCTCCGTGGAAGTTCTTCTTCCCCATTAATTTGTGATCTCTGGCAGCCTGTAAGTATTCCAGGTTAGTTGACACCCAAAAGATTTTCTGGCCATCACCCAGGGAGTGTCCTAAGGAGGCTGGTTCTGCCAGGGAGCACTGACACCAAGGATGCAAGTGGTGTTAACCCCATTACAATTTCTGGGCAGAAAAAGTCAAGGCAGTTTCCAGGTACAATCTAAAGCACGTGGAAATCTGCCACCGCACCGCTCACCCTGCTAAATCCACTGCAAATACGTTCCTGCAGGTAGGTTTCTGAGACCCAAGAATGTGTGCCTAAGTCATTTCTCGGAGATAAGATTGTGTCCTTCGTCGTCACAGTCAGAACAAATCCTCCTATTCCAAGTTAATAGCAGTTACTTAGAGGGACTAAGGGAGGAGGCAAAACATAAAATCTACCGAAACTTCGCCTGTGAGCATGAGAATTTGCTTTCTCTAGCAAACAGCAGTGTGAGTGTATTTCCCTTTTCACCAAAAGCTTTTGTAAACTGAGCGAGTCATTAGCCCATTCCAGTGAAGTACACAGCCTGGATTCATTCAGACCAGGATAAACAAAACTCCAAGAAGCAACTACTGCCGCGACTGAAGTTTCAGCCCTCGCTTAATATTGATGGCTTTTCTCTCCAAATGAGACTGTCATTTCAAGATTTTAAAACTGAAAATGACAGGTGCCCCTTTGCGTCTATATAGAAAGCCATTATCCCCAAACTGGGGTATACACATTGTTTGCAGAATCAGTAGGACCCAGAGAGTCATGGGGACCTGCATTTGAAACCAGTTACACACACACACACTCAATACATGGCTACAAAATGCATGAAATTGGTTTTATATGGATTCTCTGTTCACCAGTCGTATTCCCATGCTGAGATGATAAAGATCTCTTTCTAAGACTAGTTTGCTTCTTGGCGTTTCCCTTTCCTAACTGGAGGCATTTTTCCAAGTATGTTATGGCAACTTGCTGTGGTGCAGGTGTGGGTGTTGATGCGGTTAGGTTTGCTCTTCACGCTGCACCCCAACCCTGCGGCGCAGCCTCAGGGGCTGAGAGATGCGTGGAGGGCAGTGGCTCCCATTGTCTGGGACACTTTGACCTCATCCACCCCAAGTCAAGTCGGGTGAGCTGTGCGCACCCTCGGCTTAGTGACTGCTGACACGTTCTCTCAGACTTCTCAGGCTAAAGTGAACCTGCCAGCTACTTAGACCCCGTGCACTTACTGCTTCCAAGCTCAGCTTGAAGACTCAGCCACAAACAAGCCACATTAAGCTCCTGTAAGAGGGCTTGATCAGCACCATTATGTCTAGAGAAAGAGGGCTGATCATGCACCTGCTGCTTTCCAGGGCTTGTCACATGCCGTTCCCGACCCATCTGTTCTGTGTCTTCATGCCGGCTAGGATTTCAGGTCTGAGGTCTCCAGGCTGTGTGATAGTTTCCCACAAAATGTGATGGACCCATCCCTCTACCTCCACCCCACTCCCAGCTTGGAGCCCTGAGCCAGGCTCCTGCCAGCCTTGGCTACAGTCATCTTCCTGGATCCCACGGCAGCAAAGGACTCCTGCATCCTTGAAACCCCAAACAGATGCTCCCCAAAGTCCCCCGGCAGTGAGCTGCATTTTTTCCTTGAGCTTGCCTTACCCCTGACTCTGGACCAGGTGACATGGCAACGATTGCTTATAGGGAGTGAAGGATGATGCTCGTTTCCAGAGAAGTACAGTAACCCCACTTGTTCTGACGCCTGTCTAGTCAAAAGTTCATCTGTGTCTTATCTGCAAAGGCAGCTTCGTGGGTGAGTATGCAGGAATGTGGACTGTTCTCTGCGTGGAGCAGCTCTCCATGAAAAGTGCAGTGAGAGGTTTCAGAGCTGCTTATCCTAAAGCTCCTAGTCTAAGCTGCTCCCTCTCTTGGGTAGGAAGGATGGGTTTGCATTCGCCCTACTTGCAAGTTGAGTCCCTGAGGAATCCAAAGCTGAGATAAAGGAGCACCCCTCAGTCGAACCTGTTTACAGCCTCAGAAGAGGGCTGGTTACCCCTCATAGAGAAACAGCCGCCGCGTGCCTGCGTGTGTGGATTCAGCAATCCCACGGGCTTTCTTTCCTTTTCAAAATGCCCTTTTGTTTTGCGGCTGATCCAGGTGCTGTTATTTCACGAGCAAGACTCTGGAATTCATTATGAATACACTGTTCCCGTAAACTACACTGCTGAAAATCAGAGTGAACCAGAAAAATCGCAGGACTCTCTGTTCATCTGGACCCACAGCGGCTGGGAAGGATGCAGCGTGCAGTGCGGAGGAGGTGAGTGGCCATGGCCGTGGCCGTGGCCTGCGTGGTGTGGGGCTTTGCTGGAGAAAGGACAAAGGAGCCTGTGGCCAGCACACAGAGTGGGGAATCTGTAACCTGCAGTTCCACAGGAATTTAAGCCCTGCTGAAAATCTCTCTGCAGAACATTTGGGCGAGTCTTCCCAGCTCCCATACTAGGGCCGTGCCCATGCTACTGCCCCCCAGCTCTGACCTGTGGGTGAAGCAGGGTTTGGCTGATGTATGACTACGTCTCAGGTATGACAGACCCTGGGAATAAACAGAATAGACCTTCGACTGTTGCCACTTGCTGGAGAGGCACCAGAGCGTGTCTGCCTGCTCCCAAATTCCCTTCCCTGTTTGCCACAGTAGCCTCATTCCAGGGTACAATGGAAACAAAAAGTAAGTCATGTGAAACATGCCGAGCGTGAGTTCTGACCGCACAGCTTCCTGCTCGACCTCAGCAAATGACTTCCTCTCTCTACCCCAAATTCCCTCACCTCTGTAATAGGCTGGTTGTCCCTCATGCCCACCGTAGGGTCCACAGCGTGAGCCCAAGAGCCTGTCGTACAGCAAGAATCATTATAAACAAAAGGCATTGTGTTTCTTGTTGTGTCATTAGATGGGGCAGCAGTAGGACACCGTTCTGAACTCCTAGCCAGCAGTTCCTTAGACAGTGCCGTTTGTCACCCTAACAGGACACATAGCAGGGCTGTGGGAGATGGAACACAGGGTGGGTGGATTTTAGTGGGCACAGAGCTGGGATGGAAGGTTTACCTGGACTCTGGTATGCCAACTCTGAGAGTTGGATGATGGAGTGGAGCCCCGGACATAGCCCCAGCCGTCGCCAGTCCTGAGCACCTGTTGACTGCTTGGATAACTTTCGTTGGATGTCCAATACATAAAGCATGGCTTACCATTTAAAGGACTCCTTCCGTCTTTCATGGGTAGTAGATCTAGATACACAGGAATTTCTTCCTGGGAATCTTGGCCAACTGCCCTCACTGTCTGTGCTTGGCCCCTTCCTGCAGCAGCCCCGCAGCAGCTGGCATAGCCTCTGGATGCCACCATCAGCCCTGCCTCTTCCACTCTGCACCTCTCCCCGGGGGGCCTTCCGCCCCTGAGCCCTTAGCTGCTGATGGCCTTTCAACGTCCACATCCAGCCAGCAGCTCTACCTCTGATTCCAACCAGGTTTTCCTCTTGGACAACTTGTGAGCTAACCATAGCCCACATAGAACAGTTCGCAGGCCCTCCTGGGGTCAGGGTCAGGCTGCTCTGTTGCTGTTGGCTGGGCGCCAGTCCTTTCATGACACTGATGACTTCCAGCTTCCTAACAGTGGTCAGATCTGCCACCAAAGCTGGAAGCAATCCTGTGCTTTCTGTACTCACCCGAGGCTGCCATTCGGGGCAGCAGGAGCTGACGGTGGAGTTGAGGACTCCATGATTTTGAGTCATCCCTACATGACAAATTGCCCGGGAGACAGACCCAGCAGGGAGCCCAGGATCCAAACAGCTGTGCTTGAGTCCATCTTTCATTGTCACTCTTCCCAAATCATCATAATAAGGACAGTAATAGAGCTAACATGAAGTGTTAGCCACATGCCAGGCTCTGTTCTGTGGACACCCTATATATTTGTTTCTTTTAATCATCCCTGAGGCACCCTCGGGCACAGGGAAGTTAAGCAAAGCAGGCTGCTCGAGGACACTGAGACGCAGAAGCATGGTGACCACAGCGTCGCTAGCTGGCCAGCCAGCGACGCTGTGGTCACCTGATGCTCTTTGTGATAGAGCCAAAACTTGAACCCAGACACCCTGGCCCCAGTGACCACCCTCCTCCCTCCCAGTCACTCAGCCTGCCTGACAAAGGCATAGCTCATGCAGTATTTGGGTGCTCTGGGAACACCCAGAAGAAGGGCTACATCCAGTTGGGTCATTGGAATAGCAAAGCTTCCTAAGAGCAGGTGGGGCTCAGCCAGAAGTACCAGCTGGCTAGACCAGTTCAGAATGGCTCTGGCATGCCTGTCCAGAGAATGCAGGTCTGCATGTCTTCCAGACAAGACTCCTTGTACCCCACTTGTCCCCAGCAAGCAGGAGTTCGGTAATGGGTAGCCAGACTCTCTGCTGAGGGCTGATGTGCAGGTATTTAATGAGACCAGATCTCCAGAGACTTTAAATATTAAACAAGCAGATACAAAGATGAGCAGTCTTTGGAAATGAAAGACCCAAATCAACGAACCCCAAGCTGTTCAAGGACACAGCTGATCTGAGGTGTTGCTGCATTCTGATCTTCTAGAATCTTCCAGGGCCCCACTCTGCCTTCTGTGTCTTGCACCCTCCTCCTTAAAATTGCAGTTCTTCCTTTCTAAAAACCCACACGACATTTACAGCATTCACTTTAAGTGACAGAGTGACCAATAGCAGCACCCAAACCTTCCTTCACGAGTGTGCAAGCCCAGCCTTTCCAGGCAGGTATGGCCACAGCCTCTCAGCTCCCTTTGGTTTGGTTTCCAGGGGAACGCAAAACCATCGTCTCTTGCACCCAGATTGTCAACAAGACTACAACTCTGGTGAATGACAGTGACTGCCCTCAAGCAAGCCGCCCAGAGCCCCAGGTCCGAAGGTGCAACTTGCACCCCTGCCAGTCACGGTAAGGAGCTGGGTTCTGTAGCTGGGACCCACCAGAGTCTGGGGCAGCAGCACCATCAGTGGCAGGGGGTGGCACGCCATGAATGTCACAGTGCTGCTCTGTGCTGTGTTCTGTTATTGTTGATGAGTGATTTGTGTTTGCTTGAATTACCAAATTTCCAGTTACTGAGCCAGGACGCTGATGGAAATACAATCGTAGCTGGAAGGCATTCTTTAGGAGACCATTAGTAACATCTCACGGCAAAAATAGAGCTTTCGCCACATACTTTTAACCAGTGCCCATTGGTTCCCCCAAATTCCTTTGTGTTGGTGGAGAAGGAAACAAATGTTGGAGTCTGAGAGCCCAGGAGAAAGGGCGCACACGGGCTGATGTTGCTGCTGATCTATTTCAGTGGCTGCAATTCATGCCCATGAGTGTGGATCTATGTGTTTAGTCTTTGCATCCATCAGAACTTCCATCCGAACTTCCATCCCAGCCCCAGCTGTCACGGCCATGTTACCCGTGTGAACTTCCTTGGGTTGTCAGCCGAGTTGAATTGTGTGAAATGGGTTCGTCAGCTGAGCCTCCTCTTCTCGAGTGATTTTAGTGGGACTCGGATGAATTTGTTGCTTTAAGTTGTGCCACCCCTCGGCCTTGTGTTCTGCTCTGAATTGAGGTGAATGGGTTTTGCTCTGTGGTTCTGTGTATCATTTAAGGCATGCTGACCTTTTCTAACTAGGCTGGATGCTTAATATTTCAGTGTTTTAGGTTTCTTGACTCAGTTCGTGCCGCTTGCCTAGTACAAGAGCTTCACGTCTTTTGCACCAACCCCTTCGTTTTGTCAAACTCTTAAAATGTGTTCGAGTGAGAAAGAGAGGAGGCAGGAAGGAAAAAAAGAAGCTGAGGCTTGTTTCAGTGATCTTCTGTGCTTCTTGCCAAATTAAGAATGAAATTCCACCCTAATGCTGCAGGCCTGGAGGAAGAGCTCACTGCAGGAAATCTGCTTGAGCACCCTCGGTATGAGCAGCCGTACCACAAACCCATCCATCAGTCCGTCAACCAGTCGCATGCATGGGCCACAGAAAGAAGAGCTTGCCGCTGTAAAGATTCAACGTCTAATGGGCTGGCAACTAAAGATGGCCTGGCCCTGGCCAAGTGACTAGAAAGCAGGATAAGAGATGACGGAGGAGAGGTCAGCACGAGTTCAAGAGCATGATTGAGCAAAAAGGTCTTAGGGCTCCATTCCAGAAGCATATTTTAAAACAAGTTCTGTTTTCAAACTATTTTATACCCAAGTTTATATATATATATAAAATTGCACTTTAGGTTCTGGGGTACATGTGAAGAACATGCAGGATTGTTGCATAGGTACATACATGGAAATGTGGTTTGCTGCCTCCATCCCCATCACCTATATCTGGCATTTCTCCCCATGTTATCCCTCCCCAACTCCCTATCCCCCCGCTGTCCCTCCCCTAGCCACCCCCCCCAGAGACTTCAGTGTGTGATGCTCCCCTCCCTGTGTCCATGTATTCTCATTGTTCAACACCCGCCTATGAGTGAGAACATGCGGTATTTGATTTTCTGTTCTTGCGTCAGTTTGCTGAGAATGATGGTTTCCAGGTTCATCTGTGTCTCTACAAAGGACATGAATTCATCATTTTTTTATAGCTGCATGGTATTCCATGGTGTATATGTGCCACATTTTCCATGTCCAGTCTATCATCGATGGGCATTTGGGTTGGTTCCAAATCTTTGCTATTGGAAACAGTGCTGCAGTGAACATACGTGTGCATGTGTCTTTATAAAAGAATGACGTATGATCCTTTGGATATATACCTAGTAATGGGATTCCTGGGTCAAATAAAATTTCTATTTCTAGGTCCTTGAGGAATCACCACACTGTCTTCCACAATGGTTGAACTAATTTACACTCCCACCAACAGTGTAAAAGTGTTCCTGTTTCTCCACATCCTCTCCAGCATCTGTTGTCTCCAGATTTTTTAATGATTGCCATTCTAACTGGCGTGAGATGGTATTTCAATGTTGTTTTGATTTGCATTTCTCTAATGACCAGTGATGATGAGCATTTTTTCATATGTTTGTTGGCCTTATGTATGTCTTCTTTTGAAAAGTGTCCATATCCTTTGCCCACTTTTGAATGGGCTTGTTTGTTTTTTTCTTGCAAATCTGTTTTAGTTCTTCCTAGATTCTGGATATAAGTCCTTTGTCAGACGGGTAGATTGCAAAAATTTTTCCCAGTCTGTTGGTTGCTGGTTCACTCTAATGATTGTTTCTTTTGCTGTGCAGAAGCTGTGGAGTTTGGTTAGGTCCCATTTGTCTATTTTGGCTTTTGTTGCCAGTGCTTTTGGTGTTTTAGTCATGAAGTCCTTGCCTATGCCTATGTCCTGAATGGTTTTGCCTAGGTTTTCTTCTAGGGTTTTTATGGTGTTAGGTCTTATGTTTATACCCAAGTCTTTTTAAAATTATGCACAGAAACCAAATAAAATGAAACAGATGAAATGAGAGCTGCTGTGATTGAGTTGAGACACACATATGATGTGGCAGAGTCAGCCAGTCCACACTGCCTGTTCCACCTCTCACAGTAGGCCGTGGCTCCCCTGTGGAACTCCAAGGATAAGGTTTAAAAATCAAGGGTCCTGCTTCCTGTAGTGATAGAGTAGCTTATATTGGACCAACCCTCCTGCAGATTACAGTTATGAACTCTAGAGACAGTATAAAAAGCAACTGTTTAAAAGCTAGAAAGCAGGCCAGGCGAAGGGGCTCATGCCTGTAATCCCAGCACTTTGGGAGACCAAGGCAGGTGGATCACTTGAGGTCAGGAGTTTGAGACCAGCATGGCCAACACCTTGAAACCCCATCTCTACTAAAAATACAAAAATTCGCCAAGCATGGTGGCGTGCACCTGTAGTCCCAGCTACTTGGGAGGCTGAGGCAGGAGAATTGCTTGAACCTGGGATACAGAGGTTATAGTGAGCCAAGATTGTGCCACTGCACTCCAGCCTAGGTGACAGAGCCAGACTCCATCTCAAAAAAAAAAAAAAAAAAAAAGTCCAAATGACATATGCAGTTCTCATCTTATTTCTATTGAACAGCACTTCTGTTCATTAATTTATCCTTCAGTGTTCCGGGTGCAATCAAACATTACTAGTCATACAGGGAAACAGATCCATACTCAGAGGAGAAGGCCGCTAATGGAGAGTGACTGCAAGAGGACACATTTGTTGAAATTAGACGAAAAGAATGTTAAAGCAGCTATTGTAACTATGCTGAGAAACAAAAGGAAAGCTGTGCTCATAGTCACAGAACACATAGGAAATCTCACAAGAAAAAAAGATACTGTATAAAGCAATTTTAGGACTAAAACATACAATATCTGAAATTTTAAAAATTCACTGCATGGATCTAACAATGGAATAAGATGATGAAAGATTAGTGAACTTACAGATAGAGGATTAGACATTATTCAGTCTAGAAAATGGGAAGAAAACATTATTGACAGTGAGCAAGACTCAGTTACCTGTGGTGCAGTATCAGGCATTCTAACATACGGGTAATTGGAGTCACAGAAGGAGAAGAGAGAGAAAATGGAGCAGAAAGTAATTACTGAAGAAACAGTGATCAGAAATTTCCCAGGTTTAGTGAAAGACAGCTGAGAGGTAATCGGGTCACATCTTCACATTTCAACTAGATTGAAAAGTGCCACAACAAAGCCCTCTGGCCGTTAAAACAAGTGGGCCAGTCATGATTCTACCTCCCATGTATCTTCTAAGAGGGAACCTTGCTGCACTGCAAAACGCAAACCAGAAGATCATGTAGGAAAGCACCTACAAAACAGTGACGTAAACAAACATGAATGCAAACTCTACACAAGTGCCACGGAGCTGTGCTAAGCCTACGGTAGATAACATTATGTGTGTGTATCGCTACAGAAAGTTCTTTGACGGACCATAGCCCTGCAGTCTTGCCACGTTTAAGCCAAGTTCAAGCAAATACGCTTCAGACTAAAAGCAATTTCAGAAGCACGTTCTTAGTATCTCGGTAGAACAGGGATCGGCAAACTTCAACTGTATAGGTCTAGAGAACAAATATTTTTGCCTTCAAAGGCCACATGGGGTGTCTGGCACATTTTTTTCTTTGAGTCTTAATCCTTTACAACATGTAAAATTTGTTCCTTGCTCTTGGGTTGTACAAAAATAACCCACAGGCCAGACTGAGCCCATGCACAAGAGTTTGCAGCCTCTGTTTTGGATTATCGCTTACTCTCGTTTTGCCCACTGAGGTACCGGGACCACACCCTCAGCATGAGCCTGAGCTCTGCCCATATTAGCTCAGGGAATGTACTTTCTTATTATACAGAGGAGGGCACATTAGGATACTGAATTTCTTTTTATTGTGTAACTTGATAAATATTTGGTTTCTGCCTCCCCACCACTTCTCTCTCCCACCTCCTTCCACTCCCTTCCTGACTGTAAAATCATGTGAATCAGACTTAAAGAATGAGTGGAATTACTTAGAGCAGAGAAGAAAATGAAGTTGAAAAACAAGAGAAAATAGCACCTAAAATCTGCCTTAGAGAGCCTAGACAGGAAGTGCCTGGATGCCTGCCCTAGGCTGGTTTTGTTTGCTAATTTGTTTATTTGTTTATTCTGAACCATCTGAGCTTGTACTTTTTCTTAAAGTGGATGTATGAGTGCCCTGACTCATCACAGAGGATTGATTGTTTGGCTAAACAATTGTATGATCTGATAATAGATTTTAAAACTCTTGCACATCCTAACAAGGTAGATCTATGCACACGTACGCATACATAAATACATACACACACGTAAATGTATCTACCTGCACGATATACATATGTATGTGTTAAGTACAGTAGTCCCCGCTTATTTGCAGTTTCACTTTCTGTGGTTTCAGTTACCCATGGTCAACCATTGCCCAAAAATATTAAAACGGAAATTTCAGAGATAATTCATCTTTTTCAAGTTGCTCACTGTTCT